ATCATTTTCGCTATTCGTTTGTACTTGTTCTAGAATTCTCGAATATCGTTACCACCATTTGGTAGTTCTTGAGTTGAATAATTTATAAAAACTTTATAAGTCTGAATTTTGGATTATTTTACCAAGTTTTGAATTCAGCCCCGCCCCCGATTTATAGAATGCAGGTAAATGAATAAATAAAAATAAAGTCTTTTGTTTTGAGAGGGTAGCACGTAATAGTCCTTAGACTAATAAACTTGTGGCCCTCTATATATTCACTCAGTCATACTCACTACCTCAACATTCACTATTTTACTACACGACACTCCTCAAGCTAGTTTTTGACTGAGGGAGGAAAACCAGCGGACCTGGAGAAAAACCCTCGGAGCAAGGAAGAGAACCAGCCTACAAACTCAAATCACATATAGTCCCGGACCGGGAATCGAACCAGGACTACAGCGGTGATAGACCGGCGTTTTAACCGCTTGGCCATCCTTGCTCCCCATAAGGTCATTAGGTCATCCTCTAATTTTCAAAACCTACATAAGGCAATAGAATTGGGGCATGCCTGGTTAATAATTGTCTCTCTCCCTTTAGATACAATGGCATCAAGTAACCACCGCCAGTCCTTTCACTACCGATAGACAAATGACATTATTGCAATCATGTTCAAACCGTGTGAACAATATCCTTGTCCTTAGATAACGTTATTTGTGCTTTTATAAAGAGGATCTGAATGGGGTATATAGTGTTTAGTGTAATAAAGCCTTAATTTATAGTGTTTAGTGTTAAATTGCTCTTTTTTTCAAGTTTAGTGTCATTTGAAAAATTAATGTTTATTGTTTCGGAGCATACCTATATACTATATTTATGTCCAATTTTGATAATAAATAGCTAGAGAAGAAAATGAAGAAAGAAAAGAGCACAAATCACTATTGTGGACCAGTTTTGAGGAAGTGGGACGAGTCTTAAGCTATATGCCCGCGATATTTCTCTTAAGTGCTCAGCTGACACGAGACACTTGACTTTTTGTTAAATCCCTTTTTTTTTTGTTTGAAGACACGTTGGGGGCGATCCGTTAGACTTTTGAGGGAAAGGGATAGCAGATCAAATTTGTGCAAGAATTTTTTTGGGACAGGCGCGCGCGTGAAATTTTTATTACTTGCGCGAAATCGGCAGACATATCAATTACTTTACGAGCGATATGTTACGAGTGAATATTCTAAGAGAACAAATTATTTCCTGAATGATTCTTCTTGCTTTTTACAAACTCGATATCAAAACAGCTATTTATGAGCATTCAATCGCACTAAAACAAAACTAGCCTCAGATATCATCTCTAAGCATAAATCGACGACGACTTCATTCTCCTCGTGATCCCGAACCCAGTAGAATACCTCTTCGAACTATAAAGAGCAAGAGTAGGATGTTAAAGCACTTTGTCTACAACGTGTATAAACTTTACCATTTTCATTGTCGATAGGCGTACAGACCATAAAAAAGCGATTTCGATTTTATTAAATATACTAAATTCATCAAAGATCAGATGTCTTCTCCTATTTTAAGCATAGAAAAAATTCTTTCAAAAAATAGATATGGGCTACCAAAGTTACTAAGATATAATAGATTACAAAAAAGGAGGGAGTTGTTATGTGTCCTCTTTAAAAGCTATAAATCGATATTATATCGTTGTATTCTTGTAAGGGACAAAACCATATTTCATTTATTTCGATTATAAACTGAGTACAGAAATAGAAAAGAATCTTGGTCCTACTTCAATGCACATTGACCCAAAAAAAAAAAACAAAAAAATAGCAACATATAGGTTCAGGACAACTATGAGTCGCAATGATTTTATGCTCCTTGATTTGGAAGTAATAAACAAGGAATTTACTCTGCTGATGTTCTCATAAAGATATGCAAGCTAAATATTAAATAATAACATTCTGTTGGGTGTTCATGATACCTGTGTGATAGTAGTATTCGATAAGTGGAGATGGAGAGAGTATTAAAAGGTCTTGTTGTGTCGTCTTTGTGTCCTTTATCTGGCTATTACATATCATAACATGGTACCAAGAGCGAAGAAACCAAAA